GCAAGCAAGCAAGCAAGCAAGCAAGCGCGCAAGCGCGCCGGGACCGAATTCAGGTCCTTGCACTTGCAAGGCTTGCAGGAAACCGCTGAGCTAAACCCCTGGCTTGGTTACAGCTTTTAACGGTCACAGATTTTCAACAGGTGTAGGGCCAATTACTCAGCTTCCCCTCACCTTTCTATCTTGAAATTCTCATTCCTCCACACCCTCCAATTTCCTGTAACTGAGCAGGAGGCCTGGCACATCTCTCCTGTTGTCTTTAACTTAACTAATATCTCTTGCAGTGCAGGATCCTTGAAGGCAGGACATGGCTGCATCCTTCTCCCCTCTCCCACCTTTTGTATTTTTATTTGGTTGTGACTGTCCTACCCCAGCATCCTGAGTGCTGGGATTAAGATGTGCACGACCACATTTAGCTCTCCCCTTTTTTTTCCATCCCCCCCACCACTGTTTTCACAGAGGCTTAAAATACTTCAGTATATCTACTGACATTTTACTGAAGAGTTTCAACATTTTCTCTGCTGTCATATCTATCTAGGTACAACCACAGCAATAAAATAACAGCATGATATGGAAAAGTTAAAGGATTTTTATTATGAAAGCAGAGAAAGCAAATCAGGCTAAAGCCTTATTAATATCATCCAGATGAATCAGGAACTATATTGTTATTAATCACAGCGAAGTCTAACTGTGAGCACTAAATATACACTAAGCACTTTCCACATTCCTTCATTTATCCTCACCCATGTGGAAGGTGTTCTGTTATCCTTAGTTCCCAGATGAAGAAACTGAAACTAGAAGATATTATTTCTTCCAAAGTCATCTGCCAGAAAGGGAAGATCTGGAATTCTAATTTTGCTTTCTGTAATTCAACCCCTCCCATTCTTTCAGAAGGAAGAAAATGTGAAAGCACAGAACATTTTTCACATTATACAACTCTATTTAAAAAACAACACCAAAGGTACCTTTTAGAACTGATTCGATTCAGTTACCAAACTTTCCTAAACATCAGTAGCAGTAGTCATCTATTAGAATCCCTATAAGTTTGTTAGCTGCCTTCAGAATCATCAAAGAAAACTGGCTTAGGTCTTCTAGACTTTGTATTAAGTATATTTTATTGCTTTCCACTTTTTTGAAACTTGCTGATCTCAGGAGGGTAAATTTATTGTGTTAATACAGCACCACCTGTAGATTTATAGACTCTCTTATCCTGGATATTATTGTCTTAGGATTCTGCCTACCACATTATAAAACTAATCAAAATGCAGCCTGCCCACCTCCAATACACAGATTCAAGCAATCACTGATGGTAATTCTTTTTTTAAATTTTTATGTTATAAACATGTACTTTTTTTTTTCCCCTTTTGTACCAGGGGGTCAAACTGTGGTCTTTGTGCTTGTGAGGCAGGCAGCAGAACCACTGAACTAAATCCCCCGCCCCTACATCGTTTTAAATAAAGGATTTAAGCATCTACAGATTTTGTTGTGGGGGCAAGGAAAGGTTCCTGAAACTTATTTCCCCCACAGTTATAGAGAGAAGATTGTACTTTGTCTCATGTATTGGATTCAAAAGGTTTAGGGTATCAGCATTTTAACTTTAAAAAAATGATCTTTTGAGACCTTTGAAGATAATTTACAACTAATACCGCTCTTGCCACTTCTTCAGCCTGAGATACAAAACATCTATTAAATACTGTGCTTCCTTATTAAAATGTTTTGCCAAATATTGGCCCAGCTCACAGGGATGAAACTATGAAAGCCTTTTTTTGTTTTTGTCTTTTTGTTGTTGTTGTTGTTGTTGTTGTTTGTTTGTTTGTTTTTTAGTAAAACCCATGTTTCTGCTCAGAAAATACTTGGATCCAGAATAAATGGTTCAAGGAAGTCAGTTGTTTAAATGTCAACAACGTGTTCAGCACGAGGGCTGAAGTTGGCCAGAGTCGTCTTATTAGAATGTCACAATAGTTGGGTAATTTGCCCACAACAGAGATGGAAAACAGAAGAGCAGAGCAGAACAAAGCCCTTCCTTTGTACACATTCTCCTTTTCCCTTTGCCAACCTGATTTCACGCACGGTTGAAGTGACTCACGGTGAAAGATGGAAAACACGAGGATCACGGTTAGATACATAGAGGTTAGCAATACTGAATTTTCAAAACCAGCTCATCCTGGAGTAACACTGTGGTCATCTTCCATTCCATTCCACTTAGATTGGCATCTGAACAGCCACCGATTTTTTTCTCTCCAAGGCACAGAACACAGCCTTAAGGTTCTACACTCAAAAAGAGCGTTTCAAAAGGGACAGTTTGTTGCTAGGGAAGGTACAGCCACGTTCCTCCGGACAGGCGATTTCCGCTGGTTGCCCCCTCCCTTAAGTACCGGGTTGCCCTCTTTCATTTCATTTCTGTTCTGCCTTTGGTCCCTTGCTCTGTTGGGCCGGTTTTCCGGTAACAGACCACTTCGAGCCAATCAAGAAGCAAAGAAGAACACACACGCCCTCCCGCTCCCGATTCCCTTTGCTCGCTGCCCACCAACCTCAAAGCCAATCAAGACAAGCTCGGCTGTCATCTGCTCCAGCTCGGTTGCCGTCGCCGCCGCCGCCGCCGCCTCCTCCGGATCCCGGGGTCCAGAAGGCAAAGCCGAAAAACATGGACGTGACGGTCGCCCCGCTCCGCGCCTGGGACGACTTCTTTCCGGGCTCCGACCGCTTCGCCCGGCCAGACTTCAGGGACATTTCCAAATGGAACAACCGTGTCGTGAGCAATCTGCTCTATTACCAGACCAACTACCTGGTGGTGGCTGCCATGATGATCTCCGTCGTGGGGTGAGCGATCGGGGCCCCCGCTGCAGGCTCCCCTCGGACGGGGCTGGAGGGCGAGGCCCGCGGTGCGGAGACTCCGTCTGTCCGCGCTCAGCGACGCCCCGGCCACTCTGCCAGCCGCGGCAACTTGTTCTTAGGGCGAGGCCACAGCTGTCGTGGTCCCCTTCTCTTTCCGCACCCAGGGCCGAGACGTGGAGGCTCCCGAGGAAGAATCGGGTGGGGGAAGTGTTGCAGCCTCGGGCGAGAAAAATTACTCCTCTCCCCAGAGTTCTGGGGTGAGGCCGTAGCCGGGGGACGGGGGGTATCTGCAGCGCCTTAGCTTTTTACAAGAAAGAGGGTAGCGGTCTAACCTTGTCCTGGAGCTGCCTGGGCGCCGCCCTTACCAGTCAGGGAAGGCAGGGCGGGGACGTAGGGTGGTGTCCTAAAAGCGCTTCTAGGTGGTTTATTCCCCTGGTGCCTGCCCTTCTGCACAGGGAAGCCCAGCCTGGGAGCAAAGGGGTGGGTGGGCGTCTCCTGACCGCGCATCTCCCAGGGTGGGGTGACTCTGAGAACAGGGCCGCCTGGCACTTTTTTCCAGGAGGTACCAGGCAAGGCCACTCTGTCTTCCCTCCCTGGCCTGGGGAGACGGTGTGTGCGAAGACCTTTTCATTACTTGTTACTTAAAAAGTACCTCTGTTAATTAAGACTGCATAGTCATACGCACATTCAGCTCGCGCGCGCGCGCGCGCGCACACACACACACACACACACACGTATACCTGCTACCTTATAGAAATAGCCTTTTCTTTGTAGTTCATGCTTCTAAAAAATTCTTCCTTCTCCCACTTTCCCAGGCCAGGGCAGGTGGTGATGTTCTCCTTCTTACTGATTATCTTTAAATAAAAGCTACCCTGAGGCTTTATAAAGGACTCACTTGCCCGTAAAGTAGCACCTGGCATTTCTGCTTGAGAGCAGAGGGAAGCACCAGGCTGGCTTGGAAAGAAAAGAAGACAAACTGAGAGGGTGTGAGGAAGGGTGAAGAGATTGTGTCTTAAGTTGTTGCGCTGTTAGCTGGCTCACTTATTGAGCCACCTCTCTGTGCCAGGCTCAGAGGGCACCAAGATGAATCAGACTTGAATTCTGGCCCAGGGACACATGGCATTTGCTGAGAAGCTAAAGGAGCAAATACACAGCACCGAGGACTGGAGAAAACTCATATTCTGGGTGTGGTTCAGAATGAGTGCCTGGCACAGAGGCAGAAGGCCCTGTTTGGAGGCCCCAGTGTGGCTTCTAGACAATCAGAGGGATCCTCTCTGCGCCTTGCTGAGGAATTGGGAACTCTGGGAACGCCTGAGTGGCTGGAGGGCACAGGCTTCCCCTGGACTCTGATTAGGGTGGCAGCCAAGGTACAACTAGGGCAGGGCAGGCCTGAGGCCTAGGCAGCTGGCTTTGAACCTTCTACAAAGAAAAATTTTTACCACAAAATAAGTAGTAAATAAGTTTTCATCCTTTGCTCTATGTTCTTTTTCTTTTCTTTGTAAAAAAAGCAGGAGGGCATCTTATTCTTGATCTCCTCATAGCTCCTTATAGGGTTTTTTGTTTTTTGAAATAACACCAAAACTGGGCTGGGTATTTAGCTCAGTGGTTCCACTGCCTGCCTTGCAAGTACAAGGGCCCGAGTCCGATTCCTGTACCAAAAAAAAAAAAAAAAAAAAAAAAAAAAAAAAAAAAA